TTGACGTGCAGTGTTGGTAACGGCGATTATTCAGGTGGTTGATGACTAGTGTTTGTAAAAGGGACTTCTGGAAATCGGCGAACTGGTTTGTACTTGGTTTATGCTTTTGGACTCGGAATAATAAATCTGCATTGCTGATAAGAACTGTTGTCTTTTTAATTGTTCCTGAATATACAACAGTTCTAAATGGCGACGAGGATAAAGCAAGAGACTATGGAAGAAATATTGATGCAGATTTTGGCATCACAACAGCAGCTGCAGAAAGAACAACAGAAGTTTCAGCAGCAGCACCAGGTGTTACTCGAGTCAGTTCGAGCGTTGTTAAGTCCACAGCCAGGGCAACGACTACCCGGCGCCCAGCTTTCCAAGATTTGAACCGGATAAGGAGGTATGGACCTCGTATTATGCTAGGTGGAATCAACATTTTTTATATCATGGCGTCACGAAACAGCTAGAAAATACTGCTACTGGCCTAACATAGACAAGGATGTCGAGGCTAGGGGTAGAACGTGCGAGCCATGTCAGGCGTTCCAAAAAAGCTTAAGAAGCAGTTTCAAGGAGTGGCCGGAACCTCAGGAGGTGTGGGAAAGGGTACAAGTAGACTTTCCGGGCCCGTTTCAGGAAGCATGTGACTAGTACTCGTGGACGCATCGTCTGGTTTCCCATATGTTACTCGCTTGGCAAACTCTACAGCGGACACCACAGTCCGGGCTCTTCAGACAATATTTTCTATAGAGGGATTACCAGCAACGGTACCCAATGGCCCCCAATTTACAGGGGAAATATTTAGAAAATGTTGCCTGGAAAATGGAATCGAGCACATATTGGCTCCCCCTTTCATCCGTGTTCCAATGGGGAGGCGGAACGCTTTGTGCAGACTTTTAAGAATGCAATGAGCAGGGCAAGTTTCGAAGACGGGGACGAACAGGAAGCATTGTTAGAGCTCCTAAGAACATACAGGTCACTTCTGGGAAGAGATGGGGTCATTCCGGCACAGAAGCTTCATGGGCGGCAGCCGAGGATGCTCCTATCGCTATTTTTTCCAAAAAAGGTGTATAGGTCGGGGCGACCACGGTTTGAGAAGGGAGACCCAATGATGGTTAAAACCCACAAGGAGTCACCGCGCTGGATCCCAGGTACAGTGGTAGGAGTCCAGGGAGCTAAATGCTTTGTGGTACGGGCCCGGGAGAGGCGGCACCAGGAGCAGCTGCGGACGAGACTTTTTAGAGTAGAGGAGTTGGATGGCCCGAGGGGGTTAACAGCCGAAGAACCGACGGAGGATAGCACGTCTAAAGATCCTCATTTTCAGGAATGCAGAGGATGCAGGTGGAGAGAAGAGCAGCGGTAGCCAGGAGATCAGGAGTTAGCCCAGCCGCAGCAAGCGCCTCCTTTACTCGATGCACCCCACGAAGATGGGCGGGAAGACATCGGGCAGGAGCAGCCCGAACTACTACACCAGGACCCGAGGGGGAACAGTAGCAAACCGGGGAACCCCTGACGATGGACGTCGAGGAAGACCTGCAGAGGGCGAACTGCGCCGGGCCGCAGGAGTGGATGGCTCCGGAGGCGGAACAACGCGAGCAAATGCAGCCAGACCCCCAGCAAGAAGAAAAGGTGGACTCATCAGAGCGGAGCCAGCAGCGGCGTCGCAGTGAAAGGTTGCGCAAAAGATAGACCATATCAAGCGCAATAATAGTTAAGGGTGGGTGTAAGGGTGTAAACATGTAGGGTCGAGGGCAGCGGCCCAGCAGCGCGCCGGAGAGGCCGGTGGCACTCTGGCACCGGCCGACTGAGCGGCGGTCCCAGCAATGGAAGGTCCTGGGAGGCGCCGCTGGGGGGCAGGGCGGCAGCGGCGACCGGGCCGCCCATTGCACCGGAACGGCGCGGGAAGAAGGGAGACTCGCTCCGCAGGCTCAGGAGCTATAAAGCGGCCGGCCTGCGGGGCCGGAGATAGAACGGTCCGAGTGCAGCGAACGAGGGCAGTGATCGACGAGGTGACGAAGTGCTATTTGACGTGCAGTGTTGGTAACGGCGATTCTTCAGGTGGTTGATGACTAGTAAAAGGGACTTCTTCTGGAAAACGGCGAACTGGTTTGTACTTGGTTTATGCTTTTGGATCGGAATAATAAATCTGCATCGCTGATAAGAACTGTTGTCTTCTTGTTTGAATATACATTGTTCCTGAATATACAACAGGTGGGATGCAGGGAGGGCTCTCAAGTATTCCTTTCTTTCACCAATCATCTTGATCTTCCCCATCGTTCACCCTCGTTGTTTGATAACATTCTCTTATCTTCTACCCCTTCTATTTCACAGGGCCCCCGTATGCTGAACTATCACCCATGTGTTTGCCGTGCATGGCGTCCCGTGTCAGAGGGAATTGGTATCCTGGCAGCTGAGGGACCTGTTTGTTTCCGAACTACTCCTACTACTCCTTGTGCTACTCTGCTTTGCACGTAGGGATACGTTATCCACGTATTTTGGGGTATTCCTTGTAGGTTTTCAATACACTTGCTCTGGAGTCGGACTCTTCTGGACGGGCGGTCGGGAGCTAACTCAGCCCCGAGAAAGTGGCTCGGACTAAGTCTTGTACTGAACTCCAGGGTGAGCGGGAGGATCCACGGCGGGGCAGCGCTGTGACATCGTGCCATTATATCTTCCTGTCAACCCTAGCAGCGCAGTGGAGTGTCCCCTTGATGGACTCCATGGTGGGTGGGAGCACGGAGAGGAATCCGCTTCAATTCTATGGAGCACAACACAAACCCCTGGCCCTCTTCCGGATGGATGAGGCGATGTTTTGAGAAAACGGTGGGTTTGAGTAGATTCTTCATTAGGGAAGAAGATAAACCAATGAAGCCACGTTTCCTTTTGACGGCGTGCACGGGAGAAGGAAAAACATTTCAAAAGTACTAGTGCGGTTCGTCTCCTGCGAGCCATTGAGGACAGTTTCGGTAAACTTCAAGAGGTCACAGGAATGGTACCATACTCTTTGAAGCACGCACCGATGAGCATTCGAAAGAATCTCCAAAACTAAGCAGATTGCCGGCCTCCAGGTGGAAGTGACCACTCACCCTATCCTTAACATATGCAAGGGAGTGGTGAATCACGATGACTTAGCGTCTGAAAGTGAGGAGGAACTTCAGTCTTGGAAGTGTTTAGGATCAAGAGGAAGGAGAATGTGAGAGAGATCCGTACTCCTACTCTGATCTTGACGTTTAATCTCCCCTCTCTCCCGGAGAGGATTAGTTGTGGGTTTTATAATCTCCACGAGCGGCAGTGTGTGCCGAGCCCCGAGCGTTGCATCAAGTGTCAGAGGTTCGGCCATACCCAACGGTGCATGACCGTAAGCCCGGTTTGCGCAAAGTGCGGCAAATCCACTCACGATAATGATACCTGTGCCTTCCCACTTCCTGTGTTAACTGTGAAGGAGACCATGCGGCCAACTCGAACAGGTGCCCTACATATGAGGGAGATCATCAACATTTAACTCAGATTTACTAGAATTGTCTGTTACGATTTTCTTAAGAGTCCACTTCAGTGATTTACTACACAGCACTTGGTGGTGAATGAGGCAGTGTATGGCTATGTTTGCCCATCTCTTGGATAATGCGAGCTATTACTCCTGTTTGCCCCGCCATGCTAGGGGCACCATCAGTTGTCACGCGGGCTAGTTAAGCTCAGACCAGCTCCTTACCACAGTTTGGGAAACTTTTTCATAGATATCCTCTCCTGCAGTTCCTTTGATGCTTTGCAGTACAGTAAGATGTTCTGTGACGTCAGAATACTCATTCGTCCCTCATATACAAATTAGTTGTGTACAATCACGAACGTCATTGCTTTTGTCGAGAGCTAAGAATTTTTTTTTAATTGTCGAGTTTTCCAAATACTGATGCAAATTCTTCCATTTCTTCAATTCTCCGTAAAATTGTAGGTTCTGAAAAACTTACTGCAATATATATTCTGCGTTCTTCGGACACATCTCTTTAGCAACAGAAAGCATTCTTTAACAAATTCTCCCTCCACGAATGGTCTGCCAGTGCGTGCTGCTACTTGGCAACTTGAAAAGTTGATCGCAGTAGTGAAAAATTTAGCTGATTTTGCTTCACAAAAGTAATTTGCTAAGTTGTCAGTGTATTTTTCAATTTTAATATTTTTTTTCTCATTCTCCGACCTGTCATATTTATCTTTATGTTGAGTTTTATAGTGTCGACGCAAATTGTAGGAGGAGTTGGGCGGACGGAGTTGGGCGGACGGAGTTGGGCGGACGGAGTTGGGCGGACGGAGTTGGGCGGACGGCAATTATATAAATATTATATGGAGAGATTCTTCCTTGTAAACATGCTGTAGTACATGATACCTGCTGGGTATTGGTCTAAGATTTTCTCTAAATTACGTAATTGATATAAGTTTTCACAGGTTTTTTTATGCCCTTGCGTTCCAACTTCATATTGAAACAATTAAACTATTTCGTGTTTTTGCTTGGTTTGACTTAAATGGGTAACGAAGTTGTTTAATAGAGTATTCTTTTCTATTTTGCCCTTTTTTCCTTTAAGTTATAGTGTGCAAAACCTATAATACATTAATTTAATTGGGAATGCCGCCATCTCTGATTCTCTACTATTTATGCAATATCAATACTCTACTAAGATCCATATATTTTAAGTAAAATACCACAATATTTTAGAAAATTTCATTCCCAAAACTTGTATTTCCATCAAAAGCATTATGATGAGTGTTTCTTGTGTTCAAGTTTCATGAATTCTGCACTTAAGTTGCTTTGCTAAGAAAAAATAATTTCACTATAAACTTTCAACTTTTTCAGTACCATGTCAGTGTCATATTTTTTAGTACCATATGTCAGTGTATGTAGTAGTTCACCTAATTGTACTGTAATATTTGGAAGATTTCAGATGTAATGCCCCTTCACTGACTTTTGTTGTGAGGAAGTCTTTATTGATAGTTTGAGGTATTATTTTCGAATTTTTTTTTTTACTTTTCAGGTATTTATCCAGCCCCTGAAGTCCCTAGATCCGGTTATAGACCTCATCTTCATCTAGAAATAGACTCTAAGATTGAAATATGTTCTTGTTCTTCACACAAATGTATTTTAAAATAACCTGTGTGTGTGTGTGTATGTGTGTGAGCACATGCATGTGTACATGTGTGTGTGGGTGGGTGTATGTGTGTGAGCGCATGCATGTGTACGTGTGTGTGTGTGGGTGTGTGCGTGTGTGTGCGCACACACACACACGTGTTTGTTTACCCATGCATTTGCGAGATTATGATCCCAGAAGAATGGTGGATAATATAATTGTGAAGTGAAAGTTGCTGACAGAAATTTAGAAGTCAAGTTAATTCTGATATATTGATTGCAAATGCTTAATTTTCTTCATATAGAGCATCAAATCCTACAAAATTTCAAATGAGAAAATATAGTACACTAGTTTTCACCTAGGATTTTAACTCTTTGATTTTAATGACTAATTTATATAAATGAAAATATCTCATGTTTACTAATATGTATTGTATTGTAAAACCTAACTAGGCCAGCATTGTTCCCAGTACTCAGTAGGTATCTGAGGAAGCTAATATAATAAATGCACTTCCCATGCAATAGTTTTCTATTTGTTAACCTAAATAGTTCGACCATAAATTATAAAAGTGTACATATATAAAAGTGTAGCACTGTAATCCCAAGAAGAGAATAATTGTTTTTATCCATGATATTTTGATTACTTTGATCTGGAGTGTCATAAAGTTTTATTGATGCTGTTGTGCGGTACATATATTCGTTCTTACTAAGTGCTTAATCTTGAGTAATTAAGATCAGCCTTGTTTGTGGACACCCGTCTTCTATTCATTGCATTCAATCCCTGATAAATTTATATTACACGAGGCTATCTTTTTTAAGAATTTATCTATGCTTTTTTTTTCTCTGCACTTTCTTTTATGTGATCAGCAAGTTCTTTGTTTTATGGAGTGTGAGATCTTATACCTGCTAAGAATAATTTGTTTGTATAATTAGTGTCCAGATTGTAGTACAGATCTTCCATGCTTGCGGATTTCATTCAGATCAACTGTATTTTTGAAATCATCTATTCTATTATCTTGATCATAACATGCCTTTCAGATCTCAATACATCAGTATTACATGATTTTTGTAGCAAGGATTCTTAGCCCAATTAGATAAGTTTTTCAAAAATACTTCTTACCAACTGCTATAAAGACAAATCTTAAATTGCAAACATTGTCAAACATTTGTTTACAAACATTTACTCAGTAAATATGAACTTGACGCTATTTAATCATTTTGTTAACAATCTTGTTTTAAAGGGGTATTGAAATGCCTGAAGTTCTGTTCTCCATTTTAACTCTTCATTAGTTTTGATTTATAAATATAAAATAAATAGCTTGCATTGAACTCACTTTTTGAGTAACAACTTTGGCATTTTATGAAAGTATTTATAGTGCACTGCATTGCAAAGTAGTCAATACAGTTACACTGGTACATATTTTTTTAAAATTTGAGCAGAAATATTTACACAAGATAGATGGTGATTTCTATTCAAAATTCTGATTTCCTGTTGTGTATTTGTGTGAAATTCATTGTATTCTATTTTGTATCATATGGCAATAAAGTATTGATAGTGATATTTAACCTATTTCAATTATGTCAAATACATCCTGTCAATCTATTTTTGAGGACCTGACTTGTGTTGTATGTGACTATAATTCTTTGTTAATTATTGGTATGGAAATAAAGTATGTCTAGAAATACATGAACTTGATCAAAAAATTCATAATAGGAGAGACAAGACTGTCTGTTATTTTCATAAAAATCATTGAAATTTAAAAAAAATGCAGTGTTCTCTCTGCACAATTTTTTATTACATTATATTTTATTTACTGATTATTTTGAACACATTTCTCATTTTTGAAGAACAATCAATTTCTGAAATCAGAAAAAATATGCACATGAAATATTTCAATATTGATGTTGCTTACTGAAGGTTATTAGTGGAAATTGATGTAGTATTGCTATGTCATTTAGAACATATCTTGTTTCTTTTGTTAGCATTTGTTATTCCATTAATTCCTCAAATGATGCCACTTTGTATGAATACCATTTGAAGCAGCCGCAAGCATATTGATGATCCTTAAAAAAATGAATTCTCATTGAAAGGAATTTGCTGTCCCTTTCCAGACATGCTACAACTGGTTTAATATTTTTTTTTGAAACATTTTGTTTAATATTTATATATTTGTGTGTACAAATGCTTTACAAATTTTTTCTATTCTATTTTTTGTTGTGTTTTTTTTTGTTTTTTTTTATAATAATTAATAATTAAATTTGCATGATGTACAAATTCAGTGATAAATCTTTTGTCTAGTTACTTTTTGCTTCAAGAATTTCCAACATTTTTTTGAGTATTTTGAAAGTATTTATGTTCCTTCCTCTACTGTGTCTTTGTCAACTAGTAAGATGTACGCAAAATATCTAAAAGATATTATGTAATTTCTTCTGTACAGGATGTATTGAAAAAATGTTGCCATACTGTCAAAATTATGTTCCAGTATATTTATTGCTGATCACAATAATGATGAAGTGTGGTTCTTTTTTCAAATTCTCTTATTTCCAGAGATTCAATAAATTGTGTATATCTCTCTTCAAATGGATTTTTGAAATTAAGAAGTATTCGGTTACAGTCAGATGGTTAGGTGTTCTTCAAAGCCGATTGATCAGCTTTTATAAAATTATTTATTTTGGATGAAGATAATATATTTAAATTCAGTCCTGAATAATTTATTTTTCATGGGCCCTGCAAAGACCATCCGCAAAACATTAGCCACAGTAGCACAAGTTAGTTTCACATGTGACTATTTGAAAAGCTGTTTCATTAATGCATCTGTGAGATTGGGAAAATAATATGTTAATCATCATTGTGTATAATGCAGTTGTGGGGTTTAGGTTGTGTTTTTAATCATCCTGAATTATTAATTAACTGTGAAAGATAATGGTTTGAATTGCTTTATTCTTGGGCAAGTTCGTATTGCATATTTAAATTGCTTTTGGCCTTTCATTTTATGCATGTTATTAAGAATATTAAAATTGTTTTCATCTTCCCCTTCTATTATTGTATATTATCAAAATCATGACAACTTAATGTATTACAATTTGATAGAAACTGATCAAAAGTTTTTTAAAATTCTTTAACAATCTCACCAATTAAAATTACAGATACAGGAATGTTATTATGACTATTATTTTGATTTATTTCTAATGGTGGTGGTGCAGTTGCTGTATTTGTAAATTGAATTATGCCTATAGTTATTGAATCTTGGGTTCTCAAAGTAGTTCTTAATTTACATTTTAGTTGATAAGTGTATTGTATTAAATACCTGTCTCTTCCTTTCTCGTGCAATATTTTAAGTATTGTGACACAGTGTTCTTTCTATCTACAAGTGATTGCTTTGCTGAGGGGAAAGGGTTAAAATTGTATCCTTATTTTTCTTCATATCAAGCTTTGTACTTGGCTGATGACATGGAGTGTTATTGCAGGTTTTGCTGACGATGCTGCATCATCATCAACCAATGGAAGCTTATGGCATGACATGGGTTCGTAGTAGACGTAGAGCTGATAACCCTCTCCTGTCTCTCCTTCCTTCTCTCTTTATCTGTCTTGTAGACTCACCTCAGCTCACCTCAGCTCACCCAAGTGTCAGGTAGGAGCAGTAGGGTCATCTTGTGAACATCGAAAACGATTGATGGCTACAAAACTCCTCCTATCCAGTGGAATAGTAGTATTTATATTCTGCTGGTTAGATAATGTAAGAGAATGAAAAGAATAGGAAGATGCCTTTGACCTGGATTAGAAAGGTGGTATGATCTTGATTATTCTGATCATTAGTAGTTGGCATTTGAAGGCAGTTACATCAATGAGTCTGCTTCATGTATGTATGATTCATTTAATTTCTCTATTGTGCACTATTGACCTTGTGTTCTAAAAGAAATTGCATATGAACATGTATGCAATATTTAAAGGATTAGGTTTTTTAACCATGGCCTTTATCCTGCAATTTTCATTCTTTTCTACAGAGATGATCACATACAAATTTATATTGCAAATGATGACAAAAGTGTTACAGTGGCACAATGATAAAACAGTTGCCATGGAAGAGATAGGGATGTGAGCAAATCATTTCTGCACGAATGCAGTTCACAATCAAGGTAGTGTTAATATGTATGGGTTAATCTATAGTAAAGGTTGCAAATGTCTTAATGGCTGTATAAAGTATTGTCAACAAGAGGTATTACAAATACCATTGATAAATAAAAATGGCATGACTCTCATACTTCTTAAAACTCTAAGGAAGTGATACAGAAGCTCTTAATTGTAGAAGTTAAGGTTTTTCCCCCCAAAAAACCCATTGTGTACTTTTGCATAGTTCAAATTATTCATGTAGAGTGGACTTCTGTATCACTTATGATTATGTGTTGATGTGATTCTTGTATTTAAAAATGTAGGGGATTTTGGAACTGCTACTGATGTATAGCATAAAACTACATTTTATGTAATATATGCTTAACTACTTTTGTTCAGCTGTTTCAGATGAGTGCTTGGCAAAGAGGGCAAAGAAATATTTAAGATTTTGATTACAGTATTTTCCCTAGATGTCTATTGTACAAGTGAGAGATTTCAAATAAATTTTCCAAAGTGTTTTTGCTTTTCTCACTTCTGTTTTGTGTATTCCTATGTCGGCTTTTGAATTTGGACTCAATTAAAGTAGTGATGTAAATATGCCAAATGTGTAGAGATTAATATGTTTACAACTAGTTTGTTATTACTTAATTTCCGTTTACTGATTATGGAAGTAGGAATTTTACTAACTGAATTAGAGTTATAACTTCTAATTCTTTGTAATATAAAAAAACTTCTGTTAAAAGAAATTGACCAAAGAAAAATTTAATATATTCTTTATTGGGCACTCTATTTCAGTGACGATAAAACTACTGATATTTTACTTAGTACATAATGGCAGTTCCAAAAAACCCACAGAAATGGAGAAGTATGCAAATTTATCAATTTATTGCGTTCAAGAAAATGATTCACTCATTGAATGGTTGTTGCTAATAAAACTTTGAGTACACATTGAGTACCCTGAAGACATGATTTTTGTGTCCTATTTTCCTTTAAACTGGTCATAAATTCTTAATTAGAAAACAAGAGATATCATGAAATGCCTTAGACTTGGATGACCTCTAAGCATCTTTGCTGTCTGCTGACAACAAAGCGAAAAGTTGGTTTGTAACTAGTTGGCTTGTAAACAATTTGTTTTGTAATAAATCACATTCTCATGAACAGACATCTATGAAGTCTTGGTTTTCAGTTCACAAGTGTCCTGTCGTCAGGCTGAATGCTGATTAGTAAATTTACGTAAATATGAAGGTTGATCTAGCCAACAACATTAACTCAAAATTAATGAATTTAGGGAGACTGGCCTGTATTTTGCCTCCAGAAACTCTTTTCTGTTGAGTACATACATTTATCCTTTTTTATTATTTCATTGTAGTTACTTAATGAAATAAAACTTTACTCGATTTTTTGGGGGACTAACTAAATAATTTATAGGTTTTAAAAAACTGTGAGAATATAAAATATATTTCTGCTGAATTAAATATTGTATATATTATTCTGAGCAAGGAGTGCATTTTTGATGCACGAGTAATTAACATTTCCTGTATTTTTTTTTCAAATGTATGATGACTTTCACAGTTATTGGGTGGGAGTACAGTTTTGTAATGTTCATACTACTTTGCAGTCTATTTTCTGAAATCTTTACCTCAATTCAATCAGATTCAGATTGATTAAAATTCTTTTCCAGTTAAATCTAACTAATAAGTAGCTATCAAACCTCAAAACATTACTCTATGGAATATTTACATATTATTCTCTCTTTTTAATTCAGATATCTGCTTCAAGAATTTGTATGGGAATTTGTTGCATAAAAAAAATTGTGAGAAATTAATTCACCTGGTTTTAAATAAAGTCAAATTAGAGAATGTCATCTGTCATAGGGTTTCTCTGTAGATATTCTAATTATATACTTAGACTATTCTAGAAGTGTAATATTGTGAAAAGATAATGAGTTGGTTTTATTGCATGCTAATATTATAAAATAATTTTATATGTTTTATTAATTGAATTACAAACTTCATTTCCTTAATTGTAAATTTTAGGAATTAATTATTCTATGAAATATTTGTAGAATACTATTAAATATATTATTATTATTATTTTTTATTATTATTATTATGTGTTGTATAGATATATTACAGTGCATGTTGACCAGTCATGAGCGTTTTCTTTATGATTAACATCATTTTAAATGTTTTGCGAGTGTGGAGATATGAAGTCAAAAGCCTTTCATCTATTGATTACATAACAGTTCTGGAAATTTCTTGTCATTGCAATTTCTCTACAGTTATTTCTTGAGAGACACCAATGGTGATAAAGTCTACATAACCAAAGCAGTGTCTTAGTTGCCTACTAGGTCTGAAGCAAGATGGAGTGTGAATGATTCCTGTTCCTTGAATTATTTCTGATTTCATTTAGAGATGTAGAAGTTCAGAGTTGGAAGTAACCAAGCCATAGGGCACTATGTATCTGTTATCTTGTAATCTTATTGTTGTTTCCTGGAGCAAGATTCTCTCTATTGAAAATTGTCATAACCAACACTGATCTAATTCTATTCTGTGAATGGGGTGTGTTGACTTTTTGGATAGTGCTATGTAAAAGTCTGTAATCTGTTGCACTTTTTGATTTGAAATTATTTGATAAATATGGTGCTCTATCCACACACTCGTTTTTATAATAGGATGTTCAAGAGTAAATGTTATGAACTTGTAGAGCTTCTTCTTCTTCAGTTGAGGAGTCTACAATGATTAAATTTTGCCAATGATTATGTGGCGAGAAATTTCACGAGACATTTGACATTTGTCCCTGATTCTTAGGCATCAGTGTGCTCTGGTGTTTGGTAGGTATATGAAATCTCCTTGACTTTGTTAGAACTTGACCTGTTAAACACCAGTGCAAAAAAATTGCCCAACAAACAAGGGCAGATGCAACATATGTAACTCTGAATTTCCCAGTACATGTTCATTGGCTGAAAGTGATCATTTGCGACCCCTCTAGACATCCTAGAACTTAATAACATTTATTCTGAGACATCTAAACATAGTTTAAATTTTTATTGATATTACTAATACTTATTAGTATTATTTTTATTTATTATTTTTATTTTTATTATTATTTTTATTATTATTTTTATTATTATTTTTATTTTTATTATTATTTTTATTATTATTTTAATTTTAATATTATTTTATTTTAATATTATTTTTGTTTTAATATTATTATTGTTTTAATATTATTATTATTATTATTATTATTATTATTATTATTCCTTGTGTCAATGAAGGACATGGTGAGATGCCGAACTTAAAGGCCGCTTCATTAGAATAATCTTTAGACAATAAACATTTGTAGTATGTGTGTTTAAATTCAGAAGCATGGTTGTTAATTATGCAAGGATTCAATAGTACTAGTTCAGGGACAAATTCAGTAGCAGTAATTGTTGTCAGGCATAGCATTATTCAATGTTCTGAAGATTGCAACAGCAGCAATTGTAGTTGTAGCAAGTTAGTGAATTGTACTGTCGAACTTCACTGAGATTGTGCACTGGGTTTTGAAATGGATATTGAACCTGCACCTATTCATATGGCACTCACAAAATTCTTTGAAACATGGTACAAAATAAAGAGGACAATCAGAAATTAGGGTGGGTTTTCTTTTTTTATAAATTAAAGTTAGTTCCAAAATGTGTAATGACATTTGTCAATATCAGGGTCAGATATTTGAATTTAAGGTTTTTTAATTTGTATTTAAATTGATGTCTTTAAATGGAGATCTTCTGAAATGTCTAGCAGATTTGGGGATATATGTATGTACTCCTGAAATTTCAATTTTATTGGGATCTTTTCGCACTCTTGTGAGTGTGTTCACGTGCGTCCTCACTTATACAACGGGACATATGGTGAAGCATAGATGTGCACTTCATGGGCATTCTTTTCCTAGCAGTTCTATCCTACAAATTGCAACTGTCCTACAAGACTATTTGCTTTAGATGTTTATTTACTGTTTTTGATTAATATTGGTGTGGATGTGCATATGCATATAACTGTGTGCCCAAGAGTATAAAAGTGCATTTACCTGCACATTGGACTATGAAGCAGAACTAAATAAATAAATAAATAAATAAGTAAATAAATATATACATATATAAAATTTGAAAAGTAGAGGAATCTTGGCCGTTTTCAAAATTATTTTCATTATGACTTAAGATGTTTCATTTTGTTTAGTGTAAAAACGTGTCAAATAATGAGAACAATTTAGATGAAGCAGTAAGTAATGGAAAATTTGAAAAATAGATGAGATTATTGAATGGAGTTTGATTTAAATGCAAATATAATTTATTGGAATATAACAAATATTTCATATTGTGTGGAACTATGGAAACGTTTATAATCATCAATAACTACAGTGACATTGTAAATATTTTTTACATTTAATGGCGGTGTGATAAACGGAACGATGATGATTGGTTGAAGTTCTCAATGAGGAGTAAAATGGTGTTATTTAAAACAGATTAAAAATTATAATAATTCTTTAATAATGCACACAATATATTGTGAGCCAATCATTACTTGATTTTGAGAACAATTTCATCATGTCATAATTTGTAAGGTGGTTTGACAAACACACTCAGTAGTTTTGTATACCTATAATAGATCTGTTTGATGCTGATAGAAAGATAGGCAAACTTAGTAATTTCTGCAAATAATGATGCATTAATTGCTCATGACTAAAACAGAATGTTTTGGTATATTTTTGTGATTGAGAAGTAAAATAATATCACGTTTATTTCTTGAATAATAAATGTGATTATTTGGTCAGCTGCTTTGACTTTCACTTATACAGAAAAAATATCTTATGTTACTGTCACTTCATTTAAATGGTGTGAAGTTTACTGAAAAGAGTTGCTTCCTAGAAATTGTCAAAGAAATCAAAGTTGAAATAAATAATATTTTAAATTTCCAGTCAGAACCATAGATGTTGATTTTAAAATGTAGCTTGTAGTTGTAAATCTCTGTGATGAGTGTTCCTTTCTTTATTTTAAGTTTTTATAGAGGTAGTTAAGAATTGCATGAAAATTTTGAATTAAAATGTTTATAAGGTAAATGAAAACACATTGTGGAGAGAAGGATTTGAATGTCTGACATTCTATTGGACTAATAGCAATATGCTTGTTATAGATTTTGTAATTCAAAATTTTAAATATTGAAATTCATAATCATTTTCATTTATTCAAAACTTCAAGGAATTTATGTTCACCTTGCGTGTTAAATAAAAAATATGTTGTCTGAAATGCAATGCATACCCTGGTTGATATTTATATTAGTATATTAAACAATGTAATATATTCATTGTAATAATTCTGTAATTCTCTTGTAATCTTCAATTTGGAAGGGCATCTTAATTTCTTGAAATGAGGTATGAAGGGAAATGTAATATACCAATTGATGCTTGTTTATATGCATATGCACTTGTTTGTGATGGGCATGTTTGCATGTATTCGTGCAAATGTAAATTTCCAGGTGGCTGTATAAAGAAAATGCAATTGTTCAGACTATGTCCTTCTCAAATTTTAATTGATATTTTTAAGAATTTGCATTAATAAATTTATTTTTCAGTGTTCATGTGACAGTTCAACTGCTCAGGTTGGCTCAGACATTTTTTTTTACTCTTAGGCAGACTTTTTTTTTTTTATGAAGTTGCTAAGATGGTGGATCTTTAATGGCAGGAAATGATATCTCTTAGAATACATCTGCATTTTCAGAATGAGATATATGATGATTATTAGCAGACAACCTGTGAAACAATCTACATCTTCAACCTTTGGGGTATTAACAAAAAATGTGTTTGGTATATTTCAGTACAAAGATCTTTTGTAATTTCAGGCTAAGTTAGTCATTCTAGTAAATATTTTTGTTATGTTCTTTTTTCTTTTTCTTTTTTAAACCCAATTGTAACTTTATTCATTTTAACATCCTAGTCTTTTCCTAGTGCATCCATTTAGTACTTTGAATCCTATTAGAATGTGGATACTGAAAATCTTACAAAGTTGATATGTTTCTGTATTTTTAATTTGAAGTTTCTGTTTTTATTTGTAAATTTATTAAGGGCAAATTTGTTAAGTTCCAGGTTTCTTATTAATTTATATTTGACTGTACATTTATATACATGCAATATGAAATGGATCTCTTTTTAAATTTCATACACAAAATTTGCCTGAATCACCTTAATATAGATTGGGGAACACAGTAGACCGTATGTTTTGTGTAATCTAGGCAATAATCATTTTCTATTCAATATGGAAGTAATGTGGTGGGAACTGTGATACCATAAAGCATGATGATGCCTTTTATTCAGTGTCTGAAGCCTTACATTCAAAATACTCTGTCAAGTGAGTCGACCCAGCAGACATTCACTTTTCTGACAGAACTCAGTTCCTGAATTGGCCTGTAGTTTTGTTGACTGTTTTTTTAGAAGATGAAACTTGTTTTCATTTTGATAAAACTCATGATGAAAATATTTTAATGATTAGAACACCATTCTATTTTAATGTTGAAATGGTTTTGTTACCAAGGTCATTATTTACTTTGTTTTAACTTCAGGATACAGTGGGACCACAGTACAAATTACAGGCATACAATATATATTAGTTTATTATCTACATTGCTTTACTTCTTGTTTCAAATGTTTCATTATTATATTATATTGTATTTATTGAATTTTGAAAATCAGTCTTCTGATTCTGACATGTATCTATATTCTGTCATTCTTCTCTGCCTACTTTAATATGAACCATCGGCACAGGCCAGGATGGTGATTGCCTTCCTTTGTGGCTCTTCTCAGGTGTACAATTATGTTCCTGATAAGCTTCAGTAAAAAGAAAATGAAGTTTGATAATTATATTTCCTGCAAATCGAGTACTGTAAGAAAATGGGTGATATAAATAATCTTCAGTGTTTTATTGAGAGAACGGTTTATGTTCCAGTTTGTGCTCTTTTCCCAAGTCACAAATTGTGGAATTATTTTTGTTTTCAAATGTAGGATCAGCTTTCAAATATTTTCTATTTGTGAGTTGTATGATAGTTGACATCATAACACAGTAAGCAGTCTCCTGAATCTTATAACTTAATGATCTTTTGGGCGTGATCAATGACTACTTATATTTTCAGTATGAATTCATTCAAGAAGAGTGAAATTGTAATTCTCATGAATTAGTATATTGCATTTAAATGACTTGCAACCTAGCCATTGTGAACCAAAGTCAAGCTGTCTGAGGTAAAACACCAAATAATTAAAGATTTCGGGTTTTATACAATTAAGACAATTGTGTAAGAAAGAGTGGGAATCTACCGATGGTTGCATTGTGGATGTGTATATAATACATTTTAAAGATATTAGGTGTGTATTATAAGATACAAATAATAAAATTGGTATCATTAGTGTCATGGAAGAAGCCAACTTTGGAATTACATTTAACATGGCAATTTTATTAAGAAATATTGGAAATGCAGATCTAAGTACATGAATTTTTATCTTCTTTCTGATTCTGAGAATTGACCAGCATATCTATTGGAAAGATCTGTTGGTAACTGAAGAACTTATATTGAATGTGAATTATGTATCAAAAAGTTAATTTTAAATGCTAATTTTTAAAGAACAGCATAAAAGAGTTTTATCTGTTCAATAATGGGAATGGCAGAAGATTCTTTTCATTTTGATTGAAGATAACAGAAGCAAAAGTCGCTTTTTGAAATGAATTTTATTTTAGCCTTTTTTCACAATACTTCTGAGAATGTACAAGTAACATCTTGCAAGATAGTAATTGCATGTAAATAGAGTAAACCATGTTACTAAGTAGAAAAGATCAGATGTGTAATTTGTTACTTTTGTAGAAACTCGTGACAGGACCTTGAGGTTTAAAATAGTCTCGCAGGTTTGACATTAATGTCTTTTGAGGTTTGAATGAGAAAGTATGTACTACCCACAGTTTAAATTAGTAATTAACTCATAATATTGAATTTGGCGTGCTGGAAGACAAAATTAAACTAGAACAGAGCTACATTGCATTTTACTTTTCAAAAAATCATAGTTATTTTCACCGTACTTTCTTACTGGGAAGGTTGCTCATGGTAAGAATAGTTCACACTAATTGACACTATTGTTCCAGTAAAATTCTAAAAACGGCAATTTGGCGAAGCAAATATTTTCACTGTCAATTGGATTGTAAATTAAAAATATTTGCATATATTTGTAAATAAAAAAATGATAATTTTTCAGTAAATAAAATATAAGAATGTTTATGCAAACAATGAAGTCAAAGAAAAATTGTAAATTCAGGAAAATCAAAAAAATTGAGACAAACAATACATTTGTAAAACCAAAGAAATCAGGTTGACAGGAACATCAAGTTTTTACTGACAAAAGAATAAAAACGTCACCTTGTTTCACTGTATTGTACATTCATGATACTGCACACGCTTATAATATTATGTAGTTTTGCGATTTCACGTCTGATGTTGGAGAAGTTTTGTTTCATGTTTTTATGTAATACAATGGAAAGTCTATTCATTTAATAGTGCTGCAGCCTAGTTCAACCCTCCGAATCTTCAAAATGTTGTTAAGATACATCTGTATTGTGAGAAGGTTGCTCGATTTATGTTTGGAAATAAAACCAATTCCATATTTAGAATTATCAATAAGAGAAATTTGAGCATGAGAAAGAAAATATGTGGGTAGAAATGAAACGCAAAAATTTTAAGTACAGTCATCAATTAATTTTGGTAGACGGATCAGTTATTGATGCCATTGGACCCTTTTGGAATTTCTCTAATATTGCATAATTCTCTCTTTGAAAAGCTGACACTCAAAACTGTGTACTATATTTAATAGAATCTCTCTGAAATGAGTTTCTGTAAAACTGATAATTTACACTAGTGGATTTTTTTGCTAGATAATTTCACGTGTGATGAATTTTCACAATTTATAATATGCTGAAGAAAGTTATTTTGAGGTGGTCCCTTAAACTTTGAATTGTCATAAAATGCCATCACATTTTGTCAATATATTACAGTTTACTGTACAGTTTGATCTACTGGAGGAAAAGGTTCATTTTGGCATGTAACATTGTCCATAATCCCCAAAAAACATTTCTCAATTGATTTGAACAGCTGTTATAGACTTTAGGAAGAATATATTGTGTATATTCCTTAAAGAGTAGCAAATCTTAAAGAGATTTGTGGCATGTTTTACTTTCTCACTGAGAAAGTATCTGTAAAATTACTGAAATTGAAACTACATGTTCTTTACATTATTTAAGATTTAAAATTTTTCTCCCTTTTTTGTTTTAAAATACATTTTTTATGAAGTCTTGCAACATTTAGACTCTTTACTTTTCTTCTTTCGGTTGGTAAAAAAATTGAGAAGTAATTGTGTTAAAAAGGTGGAAGAATTATAAAATTGCCTGATTTTTGTTTACATGTATGGCACTTTAAATTGCATCATTGTCATCTAAAACTATCTTAATGTACTTAAAACTTACACTGCATTTCAGAGCCAGGTTTTGCATTGAGGTATTAGCTGTAATCTGGTGTTATATTTTTTCTAATTTGCAGAAGAAATGGTTGATTAATCAAACAAGTTAAATATGGTGCTTAATCTTTGTATTCTTTCAGTTATACTTGTGCAATATTCAGCATTGATTCTGTCAGTTGCTTAATGTTGTGCAAAACAGTGATAATTTTTCACCCAAAATGCTTTTCAAGTTGAATGTCTGCAAATAAGGTCATATTTTAAATTACTTTAAAAAAATTAAGGCTTCCAAAAATGTTCACTTTCAAATTGATTTAATAATACCAGATCTTGTAGAAGTAGCATTTGCACATTTCCATTGAGGTTTGTATGGTGGTATTTTGTTACACTATTTTGTGGATGTGTGTAGATTTGTGAGAAGAAAGTGATTAATCCTGTATATTTCAGAATGGATATCTTGTGCTGTGTATCGTCAGATGTAGAAAGTGTTCTTGCCAGTTGTGCTGGACTTCCTCAGTTGTCATGGTGGTGACAAAGGTGAAGGTGAACAAATGCTGTTTATAAGTTTTTACTTTGGTTTTGTGTGCAAATTTTACCTTTAGTTTAGTTCATTTTTAAACATTATTTATAAATTATGGTAAACAGTAATTATTTGTAATTTGTGGTTAATTACATTAAAACAGTAACCAGAAGTGTTAAAGAAGCATGATAATAATTGTTTGGTCATGGGCTCAGTCAGCAGTTTTCTCATTAACTGTTGAGTGAATTTTTTGTGCCCTGTGTTAGTACTACAAATTAGAGTCGAGTCAGAATCTAATGATTTGTGTGCGGAAGAAATCATTTAACAGTTTACGTATTATTAAGGCTTGTGTTGGACATGCTGTGCGTTTTACTGTAATTCATTATTCCAAGACACACAATCCTGAAACTGTGAAGACAATGCTTTGTTTAATAATAGTTGGAACTGGTTGAATATTGTGGAGAGGAAACCTTAAGAGTGTTTGGCATCTAGCCTTTGGTTGGTTATCTAAATGAGTAATATGTTTTAATCAATAAAATTTATTTCCTCCAATATATAATTGAAGATTATAATATGTAAAACTAAAGTGTAGAAAGTTATACTTTTGTACTGTGAATTTTATTATTTTTATTATGTGAACCAAGTTCACCACAAGTAAATAAAGAGTTATGTCCCTTTATTATTCCTGTAACATTATTTCATAAATTATCGTTCCTTAGTATTTTCCTTTTGTCAAAAATTATTTGTGAAAGAGTATGAAATACAATTATTGCAGCAATACAAATTTTTTAAATATCTTAAAACTCACACTGCAATGATTTTTTTATCAGAACAAACTGTTTCTTTATGATATGTTGTGACATTCATGAAAACAAATTTTGAGAGAAGGAAATCTTAAAATAATCTCCATCTGGAACAAACAGCAAAGCATTTGCTTTGTCACTCATTTTTCCCCCTTTGAGATATTTAGCAGCTTTTGAAGTAAGATGATGTACTGAATAGTTTATGCCAGTTGCATATGACAATTGTCTGTTATAACCCAAGAATTTCAAGGAAACAGCAAAAGCTGTTTAAACTACAGCCATTACTGGTGTTTTTACCATAAGTTTCACATAATTTTAAGTTCTATATATTGATATTTTAAAGGTTTTTGATAATTTTGATATATTGATATTTTTTAAAGGTTGATATTTTAATGGTTAAAGTGATAGTAGGATGGAATGTGCAATATAATATTTAGCAATCACTACCAATATAATGAGAAAGTTGATGTAGTACTAGTTTTTTCAATTGCAACTAAAAATATTTGTGTACAAATGCATTTTGCAGTTATTTAAGTAACTATAACCAGCACAGATTGTACATTTGGGAAACAGTTTTATAATTACCTCTGAAAATCAAGAAAACTCAGTGGTTACAAAATGCATTTGTACACAAATTAGTTTAAAGTTTTAGTTTAAACAGCTTTTGCTGTTTCCTTGAAATTCTTGGGTTGTGTACTAAATCTGTTTTGTGAAACACATTGGTTGATTGGCTCAGCTCTTTGTGAATAGATCCATTGCCTAAAAATGGAAAATTTTCAATTCATTAAATTTTTTAAAGCTATTTAAAATCCACGATTTTGAACCAGGAATGGGCACTTGAAAATTACAAAATTTTGGAAATGGTCAGGTTCTTGACGGAGTAATGTCTACTCAATATTCTACCCTCTGAATATATTTGAGATGCTAAACCCAAAGACGTTCCCGTTTATGTTACGTTATTGCAATGCTAATATTAATAAGATGTTTTCAGTTTATTATTTAGATATAAGAAAGGAAATAAATAAATTACCTTTGTTCTTCTCCTTACCACTAGAAGTCATAAGCTCCATGTTCTGCAAGGGGGAAGCCTCCAATTCTTATTTTTTATTTTCTCGCATTACTTCGTACGAAGAGAATGTATTGTGATCATGCAATGGAAAGTAGCTATTTTCGACATGAAAACTTGTATTCCCAGGCCCTGCTAACGAAAAAACCAATACTTAACCATATAATGCAGTAAATTGCTTCCTCTATCCAGTGCCGCGTTAACGGATGGGCGAACCCGGCGGCCGCTGGGGGCCTTGGGCTCTTAGGGGGGCTCGAAATATTAAAATGAAATACGCCGTTTAAGAATTTTATTTACTTATTGCTGAAAATATCAAGTTCACTGCTTCATTGTAATAAGTTCAGATATCGGAGACAAGTTAATCTTTATCTTATTGGATAATGCTCTAACCTGAGGCTCGCTCTGAAAGAATAAATGCCAGCCCAACTGGCTTCAGACAAGCGCGAGGGTTTGGATCGGAAAGAGGGTTTAGATTATTAGAAGAGAGTTAAAATTAGTTAACATTTACACAAAAACATACACATTTTATTAGATATTCAAGCATTGTTCATAATTTTATAAGAGGGTTCTAGAAAAATCATACAGTAAACAACAAATATGAGGTACATTTTGTACAATTATTTGATCAAAAATAAATTTTCAATTGGTTCATGCCCCATACATGCACAAAAAACGCATATTTTTATTTTCTATTTTTAATGCATTGTTCGCGCTGTTTACTTTCCCGTATACATATGTATATACAGAGTGTATGTAAAGTTATGTAATGATGTGCGAAATAACGACTGATTTTCAGCAGAAAAAATTAATTGCCGGGCCCTGATAACGAAAAAGTAAACAAATTCAGTTGGTAAATTAAGAAAAGTAAATCCTCTAACACGTGGTGTAGCAGGAATCCCTGTTTTGTGTGTCTTTGATACCGAAAAACCAATTGACAGCAAAACGACCGTCTGTCCGTCCGTCAGTATATGAAAACAACTAGTACCTAAACCTAGTATGATTTTTTTTCAAAATGGATATTTCCCGGTCGATCTGGCTCCACTCGAGGCGCCGTGATTTTGAAAATCTTTCTTCAAAATTTGGGGGTACGAGTACTTTACATGAAGCCGCCTGGACATTTTTAAAATTTCCTCAGAAATGGCTTCAACTTTTTTCTTTAAATTTCTTGAAAGAATGGAGTAAAATACTTTTAAAAAGGTGATATAGGTCAGATGTTCACGGTTAGCACCAAATTTTCGAAAATTGCAAAATTACAAAATTTGAATATTTTCGACGGCTTCCTTCAACTACAAAATTGAAGGTAGAGACTTTTCCTTCAAATAAAACGTGCTTCCCATGTGTGCGATTTAAAAAACAACAACAAAATTTCCTCAAAAATGACTCCAAATTTTTTCTTCAAACTTTTTGTAGGGATTGTGTTAAAGTACTCTATGAGATGACATACATATCAGTTTGTATTATTCTTTTTCAAAAATTACTAAAATGGTAGTTTTTTACCCTCGTCTCACGTAGTTAACATTTAGGTTAGCGGTGATTTGTTCACATTATTGTATTTATAAGAACGTGTGCTTTAATTAATGTCATATACAGTTTCTCGAAAACTCAACAGTTTTTTCTGTGAAAAAGTAACTCAAATTTCCGCATTTTCTGAATCGCTCAAACGCCATTAAGTTAATGCAATTTATAAAAAAAAACATTTTCTTAAGAATGGTTCCAATTTTTTTTTCTTCTTCACATTTGTACAAGTATTATTTTTCGTGAAATGTTTAATTTTCTCGAACGTATCAAAAGACTTAAAAACGTTGGCGCATGTCCCATTTTCGACGAACTCTATATTTATGGAAATGGGAAAAAATTAAAATTGCAATTGTAAAATTGCAACATTGAAGATTCATATTTTTGTCTTAACGAAATCTGTTCTAAAAAAATCAGATCTTTAAAGAAGGATGTGTTATATTATTTGAACAACAGAGTAGTTTTCATGTAATTTCTGCTTGAAGTTCATGCAATGAATACAAATACAATAACATTTCTCTCAAAAACAATTTCATTTGAACGGCAAAGGACGCTTAAAAACTAGGTATCTCATTTTCATTGAACTTTCTAAGGTTTCGAAACTTTCCTACTAGAAATAATGGGAAAGATCATTCGTTGTCTAGCGTCGGCAAAAGTGAATACAGCAAAAGTGAAGGGTGTTGGAAACATTTCTGCGGGTTCAGGCCGTTGTATAATAATATCGCGGAACCATTGCAAATAATGTTTATGCGATTACTTTCCTTAATACTTTTATTTTTATTTCTGGAAGTTGACATTTAAACCGAATAATACGTTACGATGTTTAAAAATAATGTAGAGAGTTCGTTTGTTTTTACACGATATTTCAATTCTTTATATTATCCAAGTATTATTTTGCTGTGAAATGTTTAATTTTCTCTTCTTAAGAATAAATCACGCGTCAAAGTGAAGTGGAACTTTTGGGGAGAATTCATGATATTTTTCATGTGTGTTAACATTATAAACTACGTCCAATGATTCCTGCAACGAGTAGTTCGTAAATTATTTTATTATAGCTTTAGTAAATAATCTACTTATACATTTCATGTGTCAGTGTTCAAAATTAATAATAATTGTAATAATTGTGCATCATAGTCTCTGTAACCCAGATCATTCCATATACATCAATGGATTCAAAAGAGCAATAACTAATTTTGTTCATAGTTATCCCTTGTTTTTCTAAGAAAGTGAAGTAATCTTGAGCTCGCTTTCTTGGAGGTTTGTAGTTGCAAAGTAAAATAATTTTGAGCACAATAAGATGTACAATTGTTAATTTAAAAAGATCAATTATTCATTGAATATAAATATGCATATAATTGTATTCTGGCTAGAAAGTAGAATCAATATCATTTCGTACGTAAATACACGAACCTCCATGTATAGAAATCTTATTTGTTTCCTTTGCTCTACAATTAGACCCAGCATGATAAAAAATTGGAAATTGGGGAGTGTTTAGTTCATTATGAGAAGGGGACTGATTTTAATAAAAAATCTTTTTTCTTTTGACTTCAGACAAATGCCATTTAGTATAGAAATTCATTTTATGTTATGATAAAAGGAAATGACCCATTTTAATAGTTTTTTGTTGCATTTTTCGTCGATTTCGACTAATAAGTCATTTTTTACAGTTTCCCATCATTTTTAATGCATTTTCGCTGATTTCATAAGTTTTTGTCATTTTAATGGTAATTGCTTCAAATAATATTTACGAGATGCCACTAATGTTCTCCACAGAATTCCTAAGTACATATGGTTGCGTAGGCTTCCGCGACCGGAGTATGTGTTATCTAGGCTATCCGGGGGGAGACGCGTCACTGACGTGGGGGCTAAGCCACCTATAGCCACCATGCCAGTGACGCGGCTCGATTCGGATAGCCTCTTAAGTACATATACATGGAAGCCTATTCGATTTCTTCGATCAGAAGTTTCAGCTTTGTGAATATTTAATCTATGATGCCTGTCAGCGCTGTTGGCTGTTCAGCCAGTTGCGGGATAACTGAAGACAGATGTCCAGGTAAAGAACAGTCCAAATCAAAAATTTGAAAGCTGAGTTCACTTGAATAAATAGAAGCCTCGATTACATCAGTAACGTATCCAACAACTTAAGTTATTCATCCAAACTGGGTTTGGTAACATTTTTGTAATTTTTCTTTGTTTTAGGGCACTTTTAAAACATTTTAGAAGCATTTTATTGATCGTTTTTGGCGCTGTTTTAGGTCATCAAAATCCGCCCCCTAATTATGAGGTAGTCAATGTTCTGTAAGGCAAAAAAATATTTGACTTAAATCGCACTGTAATGCTGCCTCGATAAATTCAAATTTATTTTAATGAGATTGAACATGATGATACCATATTCGAATATTTCCCATGTACCTACATGGGTATTTTTCTGCCGCATCTGACTAGTTATTATTTACGAGGTGTATT